AAAAGAATAGCGTCCATATCTGGAGCATTTCCCAGCTAAATCTGAAAGGAAACTCTTGAATAAGCAAAAGAATAACGTCCATCTCTGGAGCATTTCTAAGCCATCTCTGAAGAAAAAATATGAATAAGAAAAAGAATAGAATCCATATCTGGAGCATTTCCCAGCTATATTTGAAAGGAAACTCTTGAATAAGCAAAAGAATAACGTCCATCTCTGGAGCATTTCTAAGCCATCTCTGAAGAGAAAATCTGAATAAGCAAAAGAATAGCATCCATATCTGGAGCATTTCCCAGCTATATCTGAAAGGAAACTCTTGAATAAGCAAAAGAATAACGTCCATCTCTGGAGCATTTCTAAGCCATCTCTGAAGAGAAAATCTGAATAAGCAAAAGAATAACATTCGTATCTGGAGCATTTCCCAGCTATATCTGAAAGGAAACTCTTGAATAAGCAAAAGAATAACGTCCATCTCTGGAGCATTTCTAAGCCATCTCTGAAGAGAAAATCTGAATAAGCAAAAGAACAACATCCATCTCTGGAGCATTTCTAAGCTATCTCTGGAGATAAATCTCTTTAATGTAGATATGCCCTGGCTGGATACAGGTGTCGAATCTACTCACAAATATGCCCTGGCTGGATACAGGAATCGAATTTGGAATTGCGACAGTTGATACTAATCATCTTTGGGATTGACCTTTTTCCTGAAAAGGCGAAACATCAGTTGTATGCAATGTCATGATGTATGAAATGCATGATGTCATGATGTCCCAAAATAAATGAGATAGTGTGTTATGATGCGTATATGCATATGTCATGATGTATGTCAATGTGATGTTTATGAATGCATTTTCGTCTAGGAAAATAAATCCTTGACGAATGCCGGGAAACTGAATCCTGGGCTGATGTTTGAAGAGTAGAGTTCTTCATTTCCGCTGGGGATGATGGTTGCAAGAATAAACCGGTAGGAGAAGATGACTCCGTTGGGGAATAAACTTGTTGGAGAGATTACTCTGCGGGGAATTACTCTGTGGGGAGAGATACTTCGCCGAGGTTTTGATGATAACTCTGTTGGGGATTTCTGTTGATAAGCTTTGTTGGGGAATTGATGAACTCCGCTGATGGAATAGGAAGAACTCCGCCGAGGGCGATCTTTCCGTGGCAATTAGCTGAGGATAACCCAGTTATAAGCTCTGGTGGGGAATAACCTTTGAATAAAGCCGGGAAGACGCGTTCGTACTCTACAGGGGATAAGCTTCCAGAACCTGTTGGGGATAAGCTTCCAAAACTCTACTGGGGAGATTGATTCAACTCTCCTGGAGAAACTTTTGTACTGTACTGGGGAAGTGGTATTCCGCCGGGGAACAATCTTAGAATAAGACTGCCGCGGATGCTTGCTTAGGAACATCTGTATACTCCGCTGGGGAATATTGAGATCTTCTGGGGGTACCCAACTTCCTTTAGGCTGATAGTAGACTAACTCTGCTTGGGGAGAGTATCGCTGACTTGCTGGAGATACAGTGCCTTGTTAGGGTCTGATTGGGGACCAACTCTGTTTGGGGGAGAGTATGGCTAAATCTTGTCTTACTCTGGGGAGTGAAGGTATCTTGGTTATATTCTTCAGCCTACCTTAGTACCTTGGTGGACAGAGCAACTAGATTGCTTAGACAACTCATTATTGCCCCAGTTTCTGCGGGAGAAGGTACCTGTGGAGGTGCTTGATAACTGCCGACTTGAACAATCTTCTTCTGGTAGGCAAGTGCCGAGATGCCGGGACATAGTCGTACGCTTTAATCCCTAACTTTTTCCTGGACCGCCCTTTCGGGTTTTCAGTCCACCGGGATACCCATTTTTGCCCAAGCCGCCTTTTCAGGTTTTCGACTTGTCGGGTGTACAGATTTTTTCATTCCATCCCTTATTTTTTCCTGAACCCTTTTGGTTCACCGAGAGGCCCTTATTTTTTCCTAGGTGTGTCAACCCAGCGGGTCTTTGATTGCGCGTAGTATTTTTCAACTATCTCCATGCTCAGGATGTAGGGAGTTGCCCCTGTCAAAAGTGTTTTGCCATGCCACTAGAAGATGTTTGATCAGGCAAGATTCGTTGCTGGAATGCCCCAAGTGACTCAGAGGGAGGTTTGCCCCTGGCTATTTGGCATTTGAGAGATTCTCCGAATCTTGACTTAACTGCCCCAGATGACGGACAATGATCACGTCTGCCCCTTAGTTGGAAGTACTTTTGTTCACTAGATATTCTTCGTGCGAATTTCTTTGCTGTTCGAACAAAAAGTCATATGCAAACAATGTTATTTAAAAATGCAAAGCTTATGTCTGTCTTGAAGTTTTTTGGAAATGCAGTTTTTTTCATAAAAACAAGTGAACTTTTTGTAAACTGTGTTTTTTCAGTAAAACCAGTGAATTTTGTAAAACGCGATGTCAACTCGTTATTTTACCGCAAACCTTAAGGAGTCGGGATACCTTTGTAACAATATGCTTTCGAACTAACCCATGCTTCAGCTAGGACTTTTAAGGGTTATAACGTGGCCTGGTTCATGGTTTAAGAAACAAAGGATAAAGGCTCAAATTTATCTGTACCCACCCGCTCTTCGTGATGTTCTTCAGACCTAAACTCAGCTGATCGTGCGTTAGAACTTGTTTGAGTCTTTGCTTTGATATACCAGTGATGGTTCGGATACTGACGATTTATTTTGAATAGGCAGTCATTTCTTTTTGTGTTGAGGGTTTGTAGGACCTCTTTCTTTTTTGATTTCGTTATCCCTATTTTTTCCTGAACTGTTTCTTTTGTGATTACAGTCAGCGGGATGCCCCAGTTTTGTAAGTCTCCTTCATAGGTTTTGACTTATTGGGCTTTAGTTTTTTTTTTTGGTAATGACTTCCTGTCTTTATGATTATTCGGAACCATCAGTGTCTTTTACTTTGGAAGGACTTCTTTGGTGCCGTTCATTGTGCACCTGGATCAACTGAGAAGACTACCCTGCCCCGGGTTATGATTAAGGGTTTTAATTTTCGAAAAGAAAAAACTCCTACTTCTTTGGCTTGAAGGGGTTGATGAGGGATTATCTTCCTTATAACTCCAGTGTTTAGGGATTGAAACAATGTATGTACCTCATCAGCGGGATCTGTTCAAAAGCATACTGTAGATTGTGGTATCGTTTTCATCATCCTCCCTCAAGAGGCTTAGAATTATTAATTGAGAGTTGACATCAAAAAACGAAAGCAGTTTGAATATAGCGAATGCGAATATATTGATTCAAAACAGACATATGCGATGCATTGATAACGTAAAAGAGTTTGACATGAACAAATGTTTGAACAATCAAAGAAAAATACAACTTGAGCATTCGAATGAACAAAAGCTTCTTAGTTTGCACTAGTCATCTCAGATGGAAGATTCTCAGCAGAAGATTTTCATTTTGCCACCCGGCATGAACTCCAGCACCCTTCCGTCGATCAAGTCATGGATCTTGTTCCTCAAGCTCCAACAGTCGTCAGTGTCATGTCCAGGACTGTCAGAATGGTAGGCACACCTTTCATCAGGATTGTACTTCAGGGAGGTTATGTTGAGATTCTTAGGAGGATCTTTTAAAGCAATCAGCTTGACCTCCAACAAGCGTCTCAGTATCAGCGATGATGGTATACCAGTCTCCGAGAAATGTCTTCCAGACGTATTTCGCTTACGCCGATTACCCTGTTGACGCTGGTGAGGTTGATGTTGGGCTTGTGACCCTGAAGTAAACTGAGGAGCTTTTCCCTTGTCTTCTTGCACCACAGGTGGTGGAATGATGTCTTACTTTTCAACCTTAGATGTTTGCCCCAGTTGGTTATCCCGAAGCAGTTGGTTGATGAGAACCCTGAGCTCTCCTTGTCTTTGAGATAAGTCTTGGATAAGAGCCATTTGCCCCAGCATCTGGGTTCTCATTATATCCACCTCAGCTTGTAGACGTTTCAGCCGTTCGTCCTTATCGTCTTCAGGACTGTTCCTGACCAAAGTCCCCATGAGGAGTGTTCTCAGCTCTTCCTTCCCCTTGGATAGGTTTAGGAGGATTGCCTTGAACCGAGTCTCTTGAGCATAAAGATCCTGATTGTCTTGTTGGGAAGCCATTGCTGAAACAAACAGCGAAGAAGGTAAGTGACCTGTCAATAGGGTACCTGCAATGCAATGATATGTATGTATGCATGCAATGCTTTCAAGGATCTTGCGGGGTCACTACAAGAAAATTGGCAGATTGCGACAGGTATTTTTGTAGATTACGACGGTTAAAACCGTCGCAATTTGCTTTCCACGACGGTTGCTTTACCGTCGCAGAAGTGTGTGTCCCCAACCTATTTCGCGACGGTTACAAAAATTGTCGTTCAAGTTTACGACGGGTTTGGAGCTGACATAATCAAGTATTGGTGACTGTTTGATACCGTTGTGACTATCTTTTGAGTTTCTTTTAATTATTGATGGCGACGGTTCGATACTGTCGTGAATATCTTTTGAAATTGATTAAATTGTTTATGGCGACGGTTCGATACCGTCATGACTTTTGTTGATTATTTTTTATTGTTGATTACGACGGTTCGGTATTGTCGCCATGACTTTTGTTTATGTCTTGATTTTTTTTTATTTTTCTATTATATATATTTTTTATTTAAATTATTATTTATGTAAAAAATTTTAAATATAGTTTTTTTGTGGTATTTTTTTCTTTAAATTATTTCTTCTTTAATATATTTATTTATAGTATTATTTTTTGTTTTATTTTCTATCACTTTGTAATATAGTAAAAATAATTTCAATAAAAAATATTTAACATCAAATAAGCATTATAATATCCAAAAAAATGTGTGTTCCATAATCATGTAAAATGCGAGTTCCATAATCATGTCAAGTAGTACAAAAAACCCAAAATATATCAATTCCTAATCTTATAATAATAAGTATCATTATGCCAAAAATACATGAGAAAGTTCACAATCTAATTATCTCGATCATAGCAAAGTCTAATTTGTCCCCCCTGAAGTTCCATTATCTCCAATACGGTAGCTAGACTCAGATGAACGTCTACCATCAGCGGGTGATTCCAATCCCTAAAAAAAGGTATTAAAATAATAATATTTAAAATAATACTCATAAAATTTAACTTTAAATGCGTCAAAATAATATACCTGTCTTCCACTAAAATTCTGCATTTGCATTAAGAGTTCAATTTCCTTTGTCCTCGCCTTGTCCCTTTGCGTTAAGAATATGATTGCCTGTGTTAATTCATCAATTTTTGAATTCTTTTCTTTAAGTGCATTAATTTCTTCTTGCATTTCCTTTATTTGTTCACTTTCTGCAGAAGAAGATGTCGATCTCGTAGATCTATTAATTTGAGATGGTGTAACTCCAAGTCCCATACTACGAACATATCCATGCTTTTCTTTTCCAAATACTTTCTGAAATGCCTCATTTTCAGACACAGAATCCTTAATTGCAGCTTGTAATTTTTTCTGCACCTAAAAAAGAAATAATTGAGCTATTGTTTATATAACAAGAATAATATATTGGGGGAGAACCTCTTGATCAAATCATGGACTTCCATATATACGTAAAAAGAAGTTGGCACAAACTAGGAGGTGGCACAAACTATTGCAAATGTGACATGGAGAATTGTTTACAAGAAGTTCAGTAAAGCTTGCTATCCACCATTCTTCAGTATAAACAAAATCACTCTAGGATATTTATTCTGAAATTTCCCACTAAAGTTACCCCACAGTTTTCAATGTTTCAAATATATGTCAAATGCAGCATAGGTGATTTTTCCATTACAACTTACGCTTCTAATCTATGCAGGTATGATGCCTCTTATTTCCTGTGTTCTACTGGTTGGTCTCTATATTTTGCAACACCGTGGCTCCCACGCGATTGCTTTCATGTTTCCTCCCATAATCATCCTATGGTTACTATCTATTTTCACGATTGGCATTTACAATGTCATCAAGTGGAATCCAAGCATATATCGGGCTCTTTCTCCATATTATATATATAAATTCCAGTGGTGAGTTTTATTTGGGATGGTTCTATTACTATTACCGTTTTTTTCCAGTATTTCAAAATAATTAACATGTACTTACATTATTGTTGTATGCATCTTCATTGATAAATGACCCGTTAGGCTTTTTATGAGAAACTGTTAGGCTTTTTATGATAACATGTCTCCTCTGCTGTATGTTCGTCCATCTCTCATTTCCTGCAAATAAAAACTAATATAAATTGTTTGTACTATCAAGCAAACGATCAACAACATATAGATTTAGACATACCAACTCATGTTTCTTCCTTGCAAGCGACTAAGATCCGAGTGTATGCGGAGCCTTCAATTTTGCTCTATTTTGGGAATTTTTTTGGGATATTTTCTACATTTGTAACAAATAAAAACATGCATTATAGATAGGGATAACATACAAACCAGAGAAATCTAACAAATAAAAACACTAATGTTACCTGTGTTTTTTCTTTCTGCCTATATTGAACATAAACAGCCCAGTCATTTTCAGGAATGCCTCCGCATTTTGGATAATTTTGAAGATTTTCCTCCAAAGGGAGATCCCATCTATAAAATTCGTGAAACAATGTATGTCGAGCATCCTTCCATTTCCTTGCAGCAGAAGCAAGTACAAAATCTTTGTCACGCCCATCATCCACAAGAAAATGGCGCTAAACATAAAAATATATTAGTTGACAAAGGAAATAATAATCACCATGAAGTTAATTTAAAAAATATGTAATTGTTTATTAATAATACCTTTATCTTTGATTCATAAATCTTTGTTTTTGTATCTGCTGGAACATTCTTCCAACTCTCAAAAATTATGGGAATATCTCTAAACATTCTAATAATTATACCCAAATATCCTGCTAGCAAACCAGAAGCCGGTCCTACTGCACAATCATTCTTATTGAATTCAAGTATTATCCATGTTCCACCAGGCTCTGATTTTGCAACCAAGTCTTTCACACATAAACGTGTGTTTGAAACATAACCTTCCTCGTCTATCACATTAAAAAAGTAAACAAATTAATTTCATAACTCAACTATGTAAAAAATTTAAATTATTTATAGATACTTTAACCTTAAATTACTTACTAATGACATTTACATCCCAATACTCAGATTTAGCCACTTTAACAACATCTCCAGTCCCATCTCCTACCACAACATCTTCAGCCTCATCTCCTACCACAACATCTTCAGCCTCATCTCCTAATACAACATCTTCAGCCTCATCTCCTACCACATCATCTTCAGCCTCATCTCCTACCACAACATCTTCAGCCTCATCTCCTAATACAACATCTCCAGTCCCATCTCCTACCACAACATCATCAGCCTCATCTCCTACCATGTCATCTTCATCCTCATCTTCTACCACAACATATTTTGCAATTTGGATTGACGGAGGGGTTATTGTAGTTTCCATTGGTGGAGGGGTTATTGTAGTTTCCATTGGTGGAGGGGTTATTGATGATTTGCGAGTTGTAATTGAACGTAGGCGCTTCTTATTTACTTCAAGCTCTCCAGGTTGTACAAACCTTGAACGGCCCTTCACAGACTAAATAAAATACATTAGTGAATATTAGTAAATAATAAGTACAATTAATTTGTATGGAGTAGTATAGAGAATTTATGACTGACCAGTGATGGTTTGGAAGAAGACTCTGATGATTTGTGAAGGGATTGAGAGAGTGTAGGAAGATTGAGAGCCGCTAACTTTTTCTTATTCTCTGCAATTCTTTTGAGGCGACTATTCTCATATGGTGTAGTCATTGTCTCACAAAAGGCTTCAACTGCAAGTATAGGTATTAAGTACACTAAAAGTAGTAAACATCAAAATTATATATTAGTGAATACAAATTTAATAAACATAACATAAACACAATAAATTAAAAACATAGAGTAACAATGTCATCTAACATATTAATTAGGGATAAGCAACAAAGAACATAGAGTAACAATGGAATATCATACATTAAGTCTCACACAAGTTACAAACAAACTAGATTCTTATCAATAAAAAACTCTATGTTAACTATTGTCATCATTTGTCGCTGAAGTTCCAAGATCATCATTTGAAAAGATTTGTTCCAAATTTTGTGATGGATATGGCTCAATGGGTGTCATAATTTCATCATTTCCACCCATGTCATACAAGTCTCTTGGCTTCAAATGAACAGGTATGCTCCATCCTTGTTCACTCTCATCATCTACATAAAAAACCATATGAGCTTCAGATGCTTGAATATATGGCTCATTATCTTCATGTTCACTAGTATGTAGTAGTCTTGCAAAGTTTATAGAGGTAAAACCCAACTTATCTATCTTAATTCCTCTTGGGTTTATGGTATTAGTCCATTCACATTTAAACATGGGCACTGTGAAGCCATCATAGGAAAGCACAATAATATCTATTAATCTTCCATAGTAAGGGACCCCTCCAAATCTCATTTGGGTATCACTATTGCTTGAATAACTTCGTGTCCCAAACATGCCAAAAACTCCACTATTTTGAGTTTTTAAAAGATTGTCTCGTTCCAACATTCGAAACTTGAATCCATTGACATTGAACGCGGTAAATCTTTTAACTTTATCAAAAGGTCCATGAGCAAGACTAATGAGAACATCTTTATCTGGCCCATGAATGTTGTCAAGATTGTTGAGAATCTATACATGATACAACATTCAATTAGTCTTGTTATTATTAAAAACCAATTCAATAAAACATCTATTTTTGTATGAAAACTCACACGATTGCTGAACCAATGCGCAACCTCCTTATGAACCTTCTTGTCTATCTCAGTAGCACTTCTTTGACTGCGCCTCATTTGGTTTTGAGTAAAACTCCGGAACTGCCTATTTGATTATTCTATATTAGATGTAAAAAAATATTAATAGTATAGATGAAACTACTTAAATGTAATAAAACTACATACTTTAGATAGTCATCAACTATTGGACAGTTTGTTAAAACGTGTCTATGAGCCTGTAGTTTTTCAGTTGGTGTTAGGGTGTAATAAGAAGATCCACCCACAGGTTTTCCAACTCTAGGAAATAATTCAGCTACACGTGAAGCAGTTTGGATATCATCAATAGGGTCATCATCTACACGTTCAGGTTGATTCCATCTAGTCTCAATATTTTCTAGATATCTTGAACAAAATGTAAGAATATCTTCAAAACGGTATCCTTCTGCAATAGACCCTTCTGGTTTTGCCTTATTACGTACATACGATTTAAGTTTTCCCAAGTACCTATCATTGAACCACAATAACACTAGTTAAAAAAACTTTCTACTTTCTAATTAAGTTAGTAACATTAGAACAAAATCACATAGTTTACCTTTCAACAGGATACATCCATCGATAATGAACAGGACCTCCAAGTTTAACTTCTTCAACAAGGTGAACAACCAAGTGGACCATAATCGTGAAGAACGAGGGAGGAAATAACATTTCCATATGGCATAAAGTGAGGACAATTTGGTTTTGCAATTTTTCCATGTCTTCAATTTTCAATACCTTGGCACATAATTGTCTAAAGAATGAGCACAACTCAATCAATACTGCTGAAACCTCATGAGGTAATGTTGTGCGAATGGCTAATGGTAAAAGTTTTTCCATTAATATATGACAATCATGAATCTTCATCATTCCATTCACCTTGAGATTTACTAAGTCAATGCATCTAGAAATGTTGCTTGAATAACCATCAGGCACCCTAATATTCTTTAAAGTCATTAAAAAATTCCTTTTATTTTTACCTGTTAAACTAAAGGCAGCCGGGGAAATTTTACCATTTTCATCAGGCCAAAGATCAGGTCTTATGCCCATATTTTGAAGGTCTTCTCGAGCTTTATAATGGTCTTTACTCTTTTGCCTATCATTCAGTAGAGTAAATAGGACATTATCGCACATTTTTCTCAATATGCATCGGATCAAGATTATGGCGTAGAAGATTATCTTTCTAATACGGAAGTTCAAAAAATATGCTTTTCTTTTTCCATTGTAGAGGATGACCTTTTGTAGGATCACATTGTGTACTATCACCTTCTATAGGTTGTTCCTCACGTGTTCTTTTTACTGATTTTTCTTTCACTGCCTTTTTACCAAAGATGACTTCAACATCTTTAACCTTTTCAAAAACTTCATGTCCAGATAATGTTCTCGGTGGACTCCGCATTTCTTGTTCACCATTAAAGCGGATCTTGTTCAATCTAAACCTGTGTCTCCGATCAAGGAAACGACGATGACCCATAAAACACCATTTACGACTAGCTTTAAGACGGAGAGGTGTAGTTTGGAAGTACACGATGGGCAAGCAAGTCCTGTGTATGTGTTCCACCCAGAAAGTGAACCCAACCCTGGAAAGTCACTAATAGTCCACATCAAATTTGCATGCAACTTGAACATCTCTTTCTTGAAAGAATCGTATGTATCCACACCACTTGTCCATAACTCCTTCAGGTCTTTGATTAATGGTTGTAAGTAGACATCAATATTATTTCCTGGTGCCTCTTTACCTGGAATTATCATTGACATTATAAATGATGTCTGCTTCATGCAAACCCATGGAGGAGTGTTATATGGTATGAGAACAACTGGCCAAATACTATTGTTTGTACTCATCACACCAAAAGGATTAAAACCATCACTAGCCAATGCATGACGCACATTCCGTGGATCTGATGAAAACCAAGTATGTGTCAAGTCAAATTTCTTCCAAGCTTCTGAATCTCTAGGATGCCTCAACATTCCATCATTGTTAGTATCTGTTGCATGCCATCTCATATCCTCTGCCGTTTTTGATGACAAAAATAATCTCTGTAATCGAGGTTTTAATGGAAAATAACGAAGAACCTTGGCAGGAATTTTCTTTTTTTTCTTGTTAACAGAGACATCCTCATTTGTTTTCCATTTTGAAGTGTTGCAATTTTTGCAAGTCTCCCTCTCCTCATCTTCTCCCCAATAAAGCATACAACCGTTTGGACATGCGGGTATCTTTACATAATTCAAACCAAGTTTTGTGATTGATTTCTTGGCTTCATAGAATGAACTTGGAATGTTTGCATATTCAAATGCATCTTTTATTAACTCTAAAATCATTGTCATTGCCTTCTCACTCAATCCACGTAAACACTTTATATGGTACAACTTAACCAAAAAAGATAGTCTTGAATATCGTCTACACCCTTCATATAAAGGTTGTTCTCCTTCTCTAGCCAACTCATAATACTCCTTGGCTTCGTTTCTTTCCTGAGTTGAGCTTGGCATCACATAATCTTCTTGTTCAATCTCCAAATTTGACGCAGATGGTATTTCATTTGCATGATTCCCATAAACTCCAAATGCATTGTTGATCATGTTCTGAATAGGTTCTTCGACAATGTTAGTATCTTCTACCATACTTGGAGTAGTACTAGGGGAGATAGTACTAGATCGTACAAAAGACTCTCCGCGATGGATCCACATGGTGTATCCCTGCGGAAATGGTGACCAACTTAAGTGGTCGAACATGTCGCTCCTACTCTTTAATTTTCGGAAACCGCAACGTTTGCAAGGACATATTACTATGTCGTTTTCTTTTGCACCTTTAAATGCAAAATCAATAAATTCGTGTATCCCTTTTTGATACGCAATCGATGATTGTGGCTTAATAATCCATGACTTATCCATTTCTTCAAAAAAAAATTATATTTTCAGAATTCTAGTACTTACGAGAACATGTTACTTTGAATATAAACAATAGAAAAATAAAAGAGATGAGTTTTATTATTGGTTGTTTAATTTGTTTTTACATACTACATAACAAGTTTATAGGTGAAGCCTTGTGATATCAATTAGTATAGTACAGTTTCATGTAACAGACATATATGGATAAATACTTCATATCAATATGTTTACTACATTTAGCTAGGTACTTCAAGAATATTTACTTATGTTGTGTCAGTGTGCGAGTGCGACCTTAATATTGCTTTGTACTAGGATTTTAAAGTGCTTTTGCGGTCCCGTATGAATGCGATTGCAAACATTGCAATTTTGGTTATTACAATTGCTTATAAGAATAATGTATTTGTAAAGGCACACTCAAATTTAAGATAAAATTCTTATAAGATAAAATTCTTTAGTCTAACACTATTAAACAGTGATATAGTAAAGGCACACTCAAATTTAAGAATGAAATCATACCTCAAAGACGCACGAGGGTTTGAAGAGCAGCGAAGCAAGTGGAAGAGAAAAGTTACCTGCAACAAAAACCAAAGCAGCATATTAATAGTTGGTAGAAATCATAGATTTATCAAATAGAAATCTTATATTTTTCAACAGCTCATATCCCTTTAAATCCAACAAAAACATTATTATTTACATTCTAGTCCAGAAGACACTTCATGTTTCAGATGCATGAAAATGTGTCATCAAGATTTCAGATGTTTGTGAATCTCATAAAAAGTGTTTAAAAGAGAGATCAATGATTTGTAAATTGTTAAGGTTTTAGTGGTTGGTTTTGCTTGCTTGTGGTGTTTTGAATATGTTTTGCATTGGAATTGAAAGTTCATAGATTTTTACTACTGTTTATTGTCTGTTTGCCTTCTATTTCTATATATACGTTCATGAAAACTTGCAAAGAAGTGGTTTCTAAAACATTATAGCAATTCTCTTTTAAATCTATTCTGTGGTGATTTTGGTAGATAGCTACTTCACTTTGAAGGCGTGGAATGCGCAAAATGGTGGAGCAGCGGCTATTCTTGTAGCGGATGACAAAGAAGAAACACT